AGCAAGTTACAAACAAATTACAGAAAAATGCACAAACAAGCTTAAAACAAATTATTATTGTTACACAGAAGGATCAAGATATTAAGCTTACACCAATTTATCACTTTCTGTCGACAAAAAGAAAATCAATAACAATAGATTGATTATCAATTACAGCTGACATGTCCAAATAACTGAAAACTGCATTGCATGAAGGTCAATCCTTTAAAGCTACGTCATCTTTTTAGTTCAATGCACAAAGCTGTGCCAAAATTCAACTCTTAGGATAATTTACGGCGAAGTGTCACGGAAATATCAAGTTAAAGATTCAGAAGTTAACAATTTCTTAGCTCAAGTCCAACTTTAACAATTCGCAACAATATAAAGAAGCTGATGAGGAATACATTGAGGATAAATTTCAGCGTAAAATATAAAGGCGATTTACAACATGATTCGAGGAACGACAACTTATTTAAATTTTCAATACTTAGTCTACAAACCCAGATGGTGTCCGAGGAATGCGATCACATATTTCCATAATAAGCTGCCAGTCTTCCGTTGTGTTGAGTTCACTTGTCGCTTTCTCTGTGAACAAGAAAAAGGCACGAAAGTCATTCACTCTGTTTATCGAACAGAAAAGAGAAGGAAGTAGACTTGAACCTACCAACATCTTGATCAAAGGGTGAAGAACTAGAAAATAATGGCATTATATTGCTACGGCAATAGTTGGTAACATAAAATTCAGCTGAAACGTCTTAGTCGATTAAAAAATCCGCAATGTACGTACAGGCTTTACAATTTTCTATTGACCATGATGTCATTGCGGCCTTAGCTTTGGGCGTGTAACCACTGACCAGCTAAATCGTTTTTTCTCAGCAGAAGCACCACAGGTATCCCATCCTCGTGTAATCCACCTACACTGACCCTCCCCGGTAACGCAAAATCGCCCCTCCAAATATAAGCCCCCCGGGGGCTTGTAATTGAAAAATTGTCCTCAAATACAGAGTAAAACAAAGCAAAAACGGTAAATTTACTTCAAACTATAAGGCTAGCCTAATCGATTTTGAAACGCAAATTTCCCTCCGTAGATAAGCCGCTCCGTATAAGCCCCTCCAAAAATAAGTCCTTCATAAAGGGCCTTTGAAAAATATAAGCCCCGGGACTTATTTTCAGAATTTTACGGTATTTTCCGTAGTGTGTGCCGGAAGGGGAAACAGGGAACAAACGAGGGCAAGAAAGCCACACTGGCTAATTTTTTCCGTCAAATCACAACCGTTTGGTATAACGGGGTGCCCCCAGCATACAAACGTCTGTAATACTTTGCGTCTTTGAGGAGTTAGTTTTTAACAAGTGGGTTTCAAACTTTGCAGTTCGTACTAATTTTAGGGCGTTCTTTGCATTGGTGTCGACGGATTTTCCATAACTGGTCCATGTCAAAAGTTGAAGAAACCGTGGAAGGCCTATACTACGGCGGTCACTTAGACTTGGGAAAGATTTTTCTAATACACCATGACCCATTGTAACTCTTATTATCCATAATGTAAGTTTTTGTATTTTTAACATTATAGTCAATAGTTCCTTAGTCTTTTAGTCTTAGTATTTTAGTCTAGTTTTAAACACGATTCCTAGGAAGACCATGTAAAATGATACGATTTCGTGTATAAATAAAGATTGATGATGATGATGATGATGATGACTTGTCGAGACTTGAAACGACAATTCCGACACAATATGCGTCCGCAGTTACTGGCGCCATAGGCTAACAAGCGTGGCGTCAAGACTTGAGTGGAAAATAATGGTTTGGTATCAAGCAGTCCTCGCTTCGCATCCNCCGTTTGGTATAACGGGGTGCCCCCAGCATACAAACGTCTGTAATACTTTGCGTCTTTGAGGAGTTAGTTTTTAACAAGTGGGTTTCAAACTTTGCAGTTCGTACTAATTTTAGGGCGTTCTTTGCATTGGTGTCGACGGATTTTCCATAACTGGTCCATGTCAAAAGTTGAAGAAACCGTGGAAGGCCTATACTACGGCGGTCACTTAGACTTGGGAAAGATTTTTCTAATACACCATGACCCATTGTAACTCTTATTATCCATAATGTAAGTTTTTGTATTTTTAACATTATAGTCAATAGTTCCTTAGTCTTTTAGTCTTAGTATTTTAGTCTAGTTTTAAACACGATTCCTAGGAAGACCATGTAAAATGATACGATTTCGTGTATAAATAAAGATTGATGATGATGATGATGATGATGACTTGTCGAGACTTGAAACGACAATTCCGACACAATATGCGTCCGCAGTTACTGGCGCCATAGGCTAACAAGCGTGGCGTCAAGACTTGAGTGGAAAATAATGGTTTGGTATCAAGCAGTCCTCGCTTCGCATCCATTCTATGGTTGCTGTCTCTACGACTTCGCTGCTTTTTACAGCCGTGATCCATCTGCCACAGATTCAAAAAAGGTGTCAAAAAACGCAGTGCAAATTTTTTACAGAGCCCACTTCTTATCGGAAATAGAATGTCATCATCTCTACACAGTGTGGGATTCAAGTACATCTTGGGAAACACTCGCTCGACAGTATGATTAATTACTCTTGGAGACGAAACGAAGTTAGATGATAAAAAGTGAGTATTGGTCTTATCGTAAGGTTTTACGAGAGATCGAGAACGGGAATAAAGAAGACGGGGGGAAAATAAGTGTAAATTTTTGTTTTTTATTGAAGTTAAAATTCAGATAACACGGCCTAGAATTCCGTAGTTCGTGAAAACTGCATTTATAATACGTAAGATTACATAAGTGACATGTATGCTAGTGTTGTTGAGATTCCAAGGCTTATTAGTGAATGAACCGACACATTTTAATCACGGCGTTTACACACTTTGCCGTCTTTGGTCTTCGTGGGAACAAAGCTTTTTCAGTCTCTCGGGACAATATGGCCGCCGATGAGGCTTATGTATTCAGCGTAATCTACGCAATGAGAGAAAAAGAAAGAAAAACCTCAGTTGTTCAAGCTACCGCTCAAAGGTCACGTTTCACACTCTTAGCCTGTGAACAGACTCCGAGGGTGGAGCGGGTGGGGGGGGTCTGTACACAGGCTAGCTCATTCTCTCTTGTCTCGAGCTATGATTCGTATTTGGCCTGTCAACGCTCAATTTCAAATCGGACTAATGACAAACTGAGTAAGATACTAGCCAATTAAAAACGCCAATCAACTGAACTAATTCACACACGCCAGGAGCCCATCATCCAAGAGTGATGAGCTCCTGCCGCACGCTCTATACAGAGGGTTAAGAGAGTCTGCGACGCAGGCTATATTTATAACTGAATTTTGTTTCGACCGATTGCCGTAAATGGTTGCCTGCGTCGCGGACGCTCTAAGCCTTCTGTATACAAATGGTTTAAACGAGTGCTTGGGCCGGCTGCACCCTGCAACGCTGGCTACGCAAATGGCTGCCATCAAAAAAAGTTTTCACCTTCTACTCATTTCCAGTATCTCACGGCCGAGTTTGTTTTGTTTTGGTTTTGACCTCAACCAATCACGGGCCCGGCCTGAGCAAAGATGCAGACAGAAATCAAACAAACAGTCGTTTATTAAGCTCGTAAGAGTAACCTGGAAGCCTTCAATGCAATTTGTATCATGGTAACCAACTCACAAAAGGGTAGAATAATGTGAGGCGTCCTTTGTAAAGCTGCTCTATGTATTACAAGTACCATCAGAGTTTCCTGCATACATGTAGCTGGGCAAAATAACAACGCTGATTAAGATATTATATCAAGAGCAAGCGAGTAAATAATATAATGAATAAGGTTCAGCATGATTTTTCCCTTTCGGTTAAATGCGATTTAAAACGATTGAAATATACAAGCTACTCCATTTGTCCTATTTCGTAACATTTTCTGTTATGGGTATCTTCTTTAGTGTGCATTCGCCACTGGTTTACGCTTGGGTCAACGCTCTTTATTCTTTCTGTTTTTCTTCTTTTTTCTTTCCTTCTTTCCCTTTTTCTTTCTTTTTCTCTTTTTCTTTTGTGGAAGGGTTGGCTTCACAGTAGTATCCTCCAAGCTTTGACGTGGATCCAGTTGGACAATCCGTGCACACGCTGTCAACCAGCGACGCGCGGTAGGTGTTGTCATCGCAACATAAATCTGTCAAATCTGGTTGGTCATTCTCGATTTCCGTCAGTGGATTTGCTGACACCTTCGGCATTCGAAGTTTTATTTTTGCGATGAGGTTTAGGTTAGTCGTAACGTTGGTTGGAGCCAACCATTTTACTACCTCTTCTCCCGACTGAACACTGTACGTCACCTTCCATGTGGATAGCGTTGTGGGAAGAAGACTATCACCTGCTTCGTTGGTGGAGGTGAGACATATATATGTTAGGGAGGTTGTTGCAGAGGCTGTATGGGTTGGGAATTTCCTGTGGGCATGTTGAACTTCGATAGCCTTCTTGGTAGACTGTTACGTATGACGTCTGCATCTCTGGTAACTTGTATAACACAGATGAATTCACATTTGTAGTGAAGTAGCTGCCTGCCTGCGTATCAGCGGTAACTACTATGCGAGTTGACCTCTTTTTCTTCCCTGAGCCACTGTTGTACTCTCTGTTTGGTAAAAACAGTTGAAAGTTCTCGACGTATGGGGCTTGTGATTCACCAATCAAGCTCCAGTCGAATTTGTACAACCAGGTTACGTTTCGTGGTAGTCTAAAGGACGCCTTCTTTTCACTTGCAAACCGTTGGATGTTGANACGTGGATCCAGTTGGACAATCCGTGCACACGCTGTCAACCAGCGACGCGCGGTAGGTGTTGTCATCGCAACATAAATCTGTCAAATCTGGTTGGTCATTCTCGATTTCCGTCAGTGGATTTGCTGACACCTTCGGCATTCGAAGTTTTATTTTTGCGATGAGGTTTAGGTTAGTCGTAACGTTGGTTGGAGCCAACCATTTTACTACCTCTTCTCCCGACTGAACACTGTACGTCACCTTCCATGTGGATAGCGTTGTGGGAAGAAGACTATCACCTGCTTCGTTGGTGGAGGTGAGACATATATATGTTAGGGAGGTTGTTGCAGAGGCTGTATGGGTTGGGAATTTCCTGTGGGCATGTTGAACTTCGATAGCCTTCTTGGTAGACTGTTACGTATGACGTCTGCATCTCTGGTAACTTGTATAACACAGATGAATTCACATTTGTAGTGAAGTAGCTGCCTGCCTGCGTATCAGCGGTAACTACTATGCGAGTTGACCTCTTTTTCTTCCCTGAGCCACTGTTGTACTCTCTGTTTGGTAAAAACAGTTGAAAGTTCTCGACGTATGGGGCTTGTGATTCACCAATCAAGCTCCAGTCGAATTTGTACAACCAGGTTACGTTTCGTGGTAGTCTAAAGGACGCCTTCTTTTCACTTGCAAACCGTTGGATGTTGATAAAACCCAAATCTCCTTCGTACTGAGGTTTTGTTGGGATGTGAACTGTGCGCACGACCGTCATTTGGGTTTGATGCTCAGTTTTGAAAGCCACAAGATTGTCCAGGTCATGGTTTGTGAAAAGACCAGTTCTTGGTGAGCATGCCTGAACCCTTTGTCCCTCATTTTTATACTCAAGTTTGTCGCAATACAGCCAAGCATGGGACTGCATAAATTGTTGTGACATCAGAAATCCGCCCAACAGCTGATCAGCCTTAAAAATGTCGTCTTCTTGCCCTTGAATGGAGTCAGCTAACTTTTTGGCTACGTTGCCTCTCATAACCCTAGCAAGACTGTCCACCATTTCAAATTGAAAGTCAAAAATGTTTTCTCTGAGAGCACCAAACTCGGCGATTGATGCTTCCAAATTTTCACAATATAAGATACCATTAGCTATTGCAGCTTTTGCACCAGACGCCACAACCCCTTCAGCCCCATTTATCAGATCACAAAAGGAATCTTTGAAAGCCCCCCACTTAGCAATGTTCTGGGCCATGCGATGTCCAGCCACTTTTGGTGTATAATTAGAGTATTCTGTAATAAATGTCTCTGCGTCGTCACCAATGTCATCTGCCTGGTTTTTCTTTATTTTATCCACGAGGGATTTCATAGACTTTATTTGATTTTGATTGTTATGCAAGCAAGTTCCAATCTCTTCGGTATCATTCACGAGTCCTTCCGTGGCTGAAGCAAGTGCTTCCGCTGTCCTCACGTTTGCTGCTGCTTTGGCAACATCTTTTGCTGCGTCACGTATACCCTTGGAGTCTACACCAGTGAATATCGCGGCTATGGGGTTTGACTCTTCTGCCATTTTTGCTACGAGAGCTACTGTATTCTCCACCAGCTCAGTAATCACAAGGCCCAGGGTGAGATTCTTGATGTCCCTCATATCACTGTTCACCTTTCTCTTAACTCTTTCATACTCCCCATCAAAATCTTTAAGTTTGCCTTTTATGAATATCACATCCGCGTCTGCTATATCTTGATCGAAGCTAGCAACTCCTTTAAAATAAGAAGCAATTCCTCGGACTTGTGTTTCCAGGTTTTTATTAAGCTGGTTAACGGCGGACAGCAGCTCGTTATGTTTAATAGTTTCTTTCTTTAGTTCAATTATTTTAGCATGGTCAACATTCTGATAAAGAGTTAGATCCCTTGTATCCCCAGTATGTCCCGGATCAAGCCTTTTTTCCTTCATCTTCTTCAACAGCAGATAATGTGGATATACTCTTGCCACGTGACAAGCGGGCTGAGATATATGTTCTTTACAAGCGAAGCTGGCAATATTCAGGTCAATTTTTTTGAAATGCTGCTCGTTTTTGCCTATGATCTCCATGGCAGCCGCTATTTCGTAGTAGGCCTTCTTTGAAATAGCTGTTTGAAAAAATTTATTGGGCCCGAACGGGTCTTCTGGGGGCAAACTTCTGAACGCTTTCATCAACTCCACCTGCTTGGCAATGCTGGAGAAGTCTTCTCTCGTCAATTTGCAGCCACCATCAGTACA